GTCGAAATAGAGGTTAATAATTAAAGAGCACAAAGAGCATTGGCAGAAATAAACGAAACATAAACTGAAACGATGCGTATAAAATTGTCGTGCCAGGTTGAAAGTGAAATGATAACGAACGCAGAGCGGTAATGAAAAAAAATAGAAGAACAGAAATGGACCATTTAATGGCGCGATAGCCGATAATTAAATATCGATTTTATTTCTTGTTGACCGACGACCCGTTAATTTGGTTCTCGTTTTGTGTCTTCGTTTTCAACGTTCCCGTTAATTTACGATATCAAATTTTTTCAAATATCGCCACCGGAAAGATATTCCTCCGTGATCCAGAAAGGGAATCGAATGGAAACAATTTTTCACTTTTTAAGTTGAACGAAATTTGTAGGAAACAATATATTCTTTCGTATTTAAATTTCGAGGGGTAAAAGATTTTTTAAAAATTCCTAAATTTAAAGAGCGAAGTGTTCTGTTTGTTAGAAAATTACGCAATTATTGCAGGAAATTTATTTGATCAAATTTACGAGTTTGCTCAGTGTCAACCGACCTCTATAAATTTTTCTCTTGCACAAACAGGCATTATCTATTAAGGCGGGAGATTCGTGCAACGTGTCGAAAATATCGATTTTTCTTTTTGCATAAATCAATAGTGATTCGTCTAACATTTGACATTTTCCGATATTCGCAATGCTGAGCAAATATATTTTAACCTTCTATAGTTGAAAGATTTTCATTCGCTTCATTGCTGTAAATTTCAAGAGTAAGCTGCAACATTTTAGACCAAAATGCAACGTTTTTATTGTTTTTCTTTTTAAAGCAAAATATAATTTTGATTGTAGTCGAACAATTATTTTTACTAGAGTAAATTGTTTTAATATTTTCAGGATATGTGTCATCGCTGAAAGTATGATTAAATAATAATTCTCTTCTGGTAAGGTAACCGACAAGAATTTCAAATTAATTCCCTGTTATAAAGTAGGTTAGACTACGCTTTGCGGAAGTTAGATATATGTACATATATCGTAGGACTTAGAAATGGTTAAATCTAATCTAACTCTGACTAAAAAAGCTTCCATGTAAGCCTACTGAATACGTTATTTCATTCTTAATACTGAATTGAAATTGAATTATTTTGTTATTTGAAACAGAAGAAAATCTCAAGAAAGCAATCGAACTTATTAACTTTTATTGTGAAATATAGAAGAATCACTAATAATGGTCGCTAATAAATAATCAAAATGTGATCTTAAATTATCTTCAAAAAATGAAATATTACAGAAATATTTGAAACAGAAGAAAATCACAAGAAAGTAAAATAAACTTTTATTGTATAATATAGAATAATTACCAACTATGGTTGCTAATAACCAGGATGATAGATGCGACCTTAAATTACACTTAAAAAGAAAATTAAATGATTTTAATTCGATCGTTTTCAATACGTGTCCTTTTTTAAATAATACACGCGTCACTAGATTCGTGTAATTGTCGGTGAAGCTTTTCGAAATGTATACCGCAACAATGGAAACGTAAAAAGTCTACGTATTTTATTTGACATAGTTTCACAAGCAATTAAGCACATTTGACACACAACACGAACCGTTGAATCGTGTACATTCGCCATCGGGTTTCCATTTTCTCTTTTATTTTTGCCGAAGAGATAATTTACAGCTGACGGTACACGTTAGCGTGCACGCTCAATTAATAATGCAATAATGTGTGATAATAATATATCCTGAGAACGAATCGCGTTATAGAAGAGCTACGCGCCTAACGATTTTAATAAAACTTTATAAATGTAAGTAGAATTGATACTTGTTGTTACGTAATTGTTGCATTCATGCTTACTCGATCATGTGTGTATAAGTACTCAATTGTGAATATAACGTTACAAGTAAGTTTAAGTTTTCTTTTTCAAATTATTAAAAAGTAAATTTAAATTTAAGTTATCAAAGAGTAAATTATTAAAAAGTAAATTAAATTATTAAAGAGTAAATTATTGAAAAGTAAGTTTAAATTATTAACGAGTAAATTATTAAAAAGCAAATTTAAATTACTAAAGCACTTCGTGTACTATTGAAATACTGTTCTACATGTTACAGTATAAATTTATCTCTTTGTGGCTGTATTTGTTTCTTGATCATCACGATTGAAATACAGTATTCATTTTTGCAATTTGTAGAATGACAGAATCATTCTTAGAATGGGATAATGGTATGACTCGTATTTTAATACTCATTTGTAATTTTGGATATTTTAGAGTAGATTCAATGGACAATTTAATTTCAATTGATTGTCTTAACATTTGAATGTTCGAAATTTTTAAAAGAAAGAATAATATGTTATTATGTCCGAAATAATATAATGTGATGTTAATATAATATTCCAAAGAATATTCAAATTTTTAGAAAATGTCAACTCTTCTGAAAAGACACGAATAAGTTCAATTCCTTATATGATCGCAAAGGATCAAACAATAAGTTTCACTTTTTAAAAGAAGGAATAACCCGACTAGAAATTTCAGTTAGGCAGATATTAGGTCCGCATTAGGCTAGCCTAATTTGCCTGTTAGGCCCGCATGCGGTATGTAACGCGAATATTCACGACCGCCTAATCGGGAAAGCCGCGTTAGGGCCGCATTAGGCTTTCCCAATGACTATCTAACGAGGACAACCGCATTAGGCCCATATTAGAATATCTCTATTAGGCTGTCATTGGGAGACATTAATGAAATCTCAAATTTTGTTGAAAGCTCTCACGCAAGCGTACGTCCGACACTGAGATGTCTGTAAATATTCTGACATATAAGTTTGAGAGTCCCACTCCACCCAATTTAGGTGTGCGATCGGCCACCCCCATTTCAGCCACGTATGGCAACTGTTAGGAATGCCCAATCTAAGCCTGCGCTCGGCCACCACCATTTGGGCCACGTATCGCAACAGTTAGTAATGCCTAACTTAGGCGTGCGCTCGGCCACCCCCATTTGGACCACGTATGGCAACTGCTAGGAATGCCCAACCTAAGCGTGCGCTCGGCCACCCCCATTTGGGCCACGTATCGCAACTGTTAGGAATGCCTAACTTAGGCGTGCGCTGGGGCATCCCGATTTGGGCCACGTATCGCAACTGTTAGGAATGCCTAACTTAGGCGTGCGCTCGGGCATCCCGATTTGGGCCACGTATCACAACAGTTAGGAATGCCTAACGTAGGCGTGCGCTCGGCCACCCCCATTTGGGCCACGTATGGCAACTGTTAGGAATGCCCAACTTAGGCGTGCATTATTCCTTCCGAATTACGACCTAATGCGGTAACGATTAGGCTTGCAACATTTAGGTATGCCCAATCGCTTCCTCATTAGACCCACATTCGTCTTTAGGCATGCATAACTGAAATTCTAGTCGGGTACCTATTAAAATTAATGCAATCACTATGAATACGCAAAGCACACAAATGCAAAATGTTCCTACGATTTGCAAAATTTGATTGATGTAACGCATTAGATAATATTTCTTACCTGTAATTATGAAACGTATTAATAGGTAAAGAAAAAATTCAGCTCGTTTGTTCAACATTTAGCAAGATTGCTCACGATGCAAATACAGAGTAACTATATTTCGCGAACGGATCAACCGCAAGTCAGGTGAATTCGCACAATACCAAATTCCGAATTGATCCTCCATTCAGAACTGGGTCGGCCATTGTTTTTTTAAAGTGGTTGACACGGTTCAGCGAAATGAACAGTGGTTAACTTGATTCCGATTGACAAGCTCGCGCTGAAATTGATGTGCCTCTGTGCGTGGAAAACCATTTTCTAGATCCTTGTCTTGAATTTTTTCCCTGATTTCCAGATTTGATAGGAAGAGAAAAGGAAACAAAAAATTAAGTGGAAAGTGTAAAGAGGAATTTGTTGATAGAAAAAACTTGGTGCGATGTAAATTTGTTCTACTGGTAAAATAAAATACTTCGAAAAGTAGTTTGATGTTCAAATTAATTATTCAAATATTTTTCAGGCATAAAAATATGCGTTGCTTGTAGATAGATTTTTGTTTAGGAGGATATTAGGTTTTTGGGGGGAATTATAGTTGTTGCTTCGTAAATAGCTAGGTTTATTGTTATTTAGATAAGAAACGGACGGAAATATTTTAGCATGAAATTATCTGAGACTCCGTTTGCTTTAATTTGAAAAAGTAGAAGACGTAAATTGCTGGATTAAAGAACAAAGTGTGCTTGTTAGTTTTGAAAGATCTTCTTTGCTAATGAGGTTTATGCAAAGCTTTAGGAACATGCAATATCTGTCGAAATAATATAGAATTACCT